TGTGTGTTCGTTCTGATCCCGGGGATTGGATTACACACATGACCCACCAGCCTCCAGCTGCAATATGTTAATTATTGGACATATGATGTTGAGATTTACTCCAAGGTATGTGGCTACTAAGCAGGAACCCAGATCTTAAAAGTTCTTCTCTGGTAAGGGAAAGATACAATTTTCCTTCAATTTGTAGTTCTTCAGGAATCCAAGAAAGCACCAGTAAAGACTCTATCGTTCTTCTCTTTGATGTAATAAAGTCAGCAGTTAGATATGACAAAACCATTTCCGAAGCCTGGATTAAGGTGAGTAAGATCTTTGGAACTTGAGTATCATGGGGAAAATGAATGTCAATTATTGTCAGTTGTGTAAGTCCTGAAGCTTGAACTCATTGCCTGGGTGCTGTCCCTGAGCTTTTTTGCTCAAAGCTAGTGCTCTACCTCTTGAGTCACAACTCCTAAAAATCATTCAAATATAAGGGCTAGATGATTGACAGATAAATGTGGACTCTCAGATAAGAAAACAGAACATGCAGAGTTAGACGTGTTCCATTGGTGTTTGGTAATATTCTTGTCACCCTTTTTTTTTTCAGGCAATTGAAAGCATTGCCTCAGTGGCTGAACACAAGGTAATTACAGTCTTGTACTATGAATTTAAAATATTATAGCCAAAGTAGTGACATTGACTAACTTGCCTTCCAGTCATCCTTCAGTACTTTCCATAGCTGCTCTACTAAATATTGGCTGGGAAGAGGATCTAAAGGGTAACTTTCCAAATAACCTGTTCTTTTAATTAATTTTATTAGTTAAATGAGCCTCCAATATTTAGAAGTAGGAAAATCCCAGGCCCATCATCCCTACATGGTCTATATCCTGTGTCTGTCTGCCCTTCCTTCCATCTGGCAGGTAGTATTGTCTAGATAAGAACATTCTGTGTGTCACTGCAGTTTCTCCCTGGAGGCCTGTATGCTCTGTATTATCAATGAAATGCCACTAGAAAACCTTCCCCCCCCACCCTTTTTTTTCCCCCCAGTACATGGGGTTTTGAACTTATGGCCTTCCACTTGTTTGGCTGACACTCTTACCATTTGAGTCAATGCCTCTAACCCTTATTGTTTTCTTAGGATAAATCTGAAGCGATCCAGAATTATTCCTATAATATCACTTTTATATTTCCAGTACTCTTCCTCCTCCCCCTCCTCTTCCTCTTCTTCTTCCTTTTCTTTTTTGTCAGTCGTAGGGCTTGAACTCTGGGCCTGGGTGCTGTCCCTGAGCTCTTTAGCTCAAGGTGAGCACTCTACTGCTTGAGCCACAGTGCCACTTCCACTTTTCTGGTAGTTACTTGAAGATAAGAATCTCACAGACTTTACTGCCTGGGCTGGCTTTGAACCTACATCCTCAGATCTTAGACTCCTGAGTAGCTAGGATTACAGGCATGAGCCACTGGCACCCAGCAGTGCTTTGTTCTTTTAATAAATTAATTTGTGTGTGTGTAGCAGTAGGTACTGGAACTTGACTTCTAGGTCTTGCAGTTTAGCTCAATTTTTTTAGTTCTTAGCTAGCACTGTACCACTGAAGCTACATTTCCACATCTGGATTTCTGGTTAATTGGAGATGAGTCTCAAGAAGAATTTCTGTAGCCTGGTGCTGCTGGCTCACACCTATAATCCTAGCTTCTCAGGATGCTAAAATCTGAAGATCAATGTTCACAACCAGCCTAGCCTAGAAAGTCTGTGAGACTCTTAACTCTAGTTAACCACTAAAAGCCACAAGTAGAGCTGTGGCTCAAGTGTGGTGCCCAGGCTCTGAGTTCAAGCCCTAAGGTTGTCACAAGAAAAAAGGTTTTCTTGTCTGGATTTGAACCTTGATTCTCAGATTTCAGCGCTAAGGCTCAAGTGGTAGAGTGCTAGCCTTGAGCTGAAGAGCTGAGGGACAACTCTCAGGCCCAGAGTTCAGGCCCCACGACCGGACCCAAAAAAAAACAAAAAAAAGAGTACATTTCCTTTTGGACATTGTTACCCCTTCCCTCCTTTTTCCTAGTTTTTCCCTCCCACAAGTTGTATAGTTGATTTTCAACATAGTGTCCAGTGAGTACCAGTGTTGTTTTTGTTTACCCCTTGTCCCTCTATTTCTGTGCTTTTCCTTACCCTCCCAAAGACATATAAAGAAACAATACCAAAAGAAAACAAAAACATCAACAAAGGAAGAAACCCCGTTTCCATTTCCTGGAGTTCATTTACAGGGTTTTCTTAAGAGATACTGTGGGTAATAGTTGTGGCACCTAATTTCTCTGAAAAAAATTTTCTGGGTCTTGTGACTATATATGTACTCTGGGAGTATTTGAAACAAATGATTTCATCCCTCTGTTTTATGGGAGAAAGTTGAAAGTTACTATTGGGTTATTAAACTGTTACTGTTGCCTATTGATGTAGATTTTTGATATGGCGATGCTTCTGGTCATCTACAGCACCAGCACCCACACAAAGAAGTACATAGAGAGGGTGCTTAGAAGCAAGATTCGATTAGGCCACATTGAAAAGCATCTGCTAGAGAATACATTCTGTGTTCATGACATGGTAAGTGTCAGAGAATCAAGCAAGCTTATTTGAGAAAAACATAGAAAGATCATCTTAACCTTTCTAGACCTTTACTAAGTTTTGATCTTTGTTGGAGTTCAAAGCCTGTTTCAAGATAATTACAATTATTACAGTATTACATAGTTTGAGTGATTTATTATGATGTTAGTAAATAAACCTAAGATTTTATTTACTTATTTATTGTCGGTCGTGGGACTTGAATTCTGGGCCTGTGCTCTGTCCCTGAGCTCTTCATCTCAAGGCGAGTGCTCTACCACTTGAGCCACAGTGCCACTTCTGGTTTTCTGCTGGTTTATTGGAAATAAGAATCTCACAGGCTTTTCTACCTGGGCTGGCTTTGAACCATGATCCTCAGATCTCAGCCTCATGAGTCACTGGGATCATAGGCGTGAACCACCAGTGTCCAGCTGATTTTTTTTATTTTTATTTTTGTCATTCGTGGGTCTTGAACTCTGGGCCTGGGCGCTGTCTCTCAGCTCTTCAGCTCAAGGCTAGAGCTCTATTCACTTGAGCTACAACACCACTTCCGGGGTTTTTTTGGTGGTTATTTGGAAATTAGAGTCTCATGGACTTTCCTGCCCAGGCTGGCTTTGAATCCTCCATCCTCAGATCTTACCCTCCTGAATAGCTAGAATTACAGGTTTGAGCCACTGGCGCCTGGCTGATTTTTATTTTTTTCTGCAGAAAGTTCATGAAATTTCTTGCATTGAACTTAATTTTACTCAAATTCCAACTTACATTTAGGTCTTCTTTCTCCATAATGTATAAGTTGATTCCCCCCCCCCCCCCAGAAGGTAGACTAAATCGCTATGCAAAATTTCATCTCGTTTTTTCAAAGTTTAATTTTTCCCTGGTCATTTTAGTACTCTCTATGAAGCTTTTAACCTTGACAAATTGGCCTCTTGGATCCTGTTCTAAGAGGTTTCCAAAGTCCTGACATATGCTGATTACTGTGGTTCATACCTGTAGTGCCAGCACTTAAAAGGCTGAGGCAGGAAGATTTTAAGTTTGAGGCCAGTCTTGGGCTGTATGGTGAAAGTCTGTCTCACTTCAAAACATAGCCCCTGAAAACCCTGAGGGAGGACACCATGAAAGAGACATAAAATGAAGCTATAAAACACATCAGTATGGCCATTCAATATTGTGAACAATAGAGGTCGATCCTTCTCAGAATGTAAGCCAACCCAAGATCATATATGCTGGGAATGGTGTTTTGCCAACTGGAAATTTAGAAGTTCACTGTGATGAGTTTAGTGGGCTGGCAATTTGGACCTTGGCTTAGGAGCTAAAGAGAGTAGATACTCGGGAGTGCTCTACCACTTGAGCCATGCCTTCAGCCATCCTTTCTTTAGCAATTTTTCAAATAGGGTCTGACATTTATGTCTGGGTTGGCCTAGACTGCAATTCTACTTACGCTTTCCATGGAGCTGAGATGACAGATGGGCACTGCCACACCCAGCTATTACTTGAGATAGGGTCTTGCGAACTTTTTGCCCAGTCTGGCCTTGAACTATGATCCACTAGATGTCTACTGCTGAGTAACTGAGATTCCAGGCATGAGCCATACACCTGTCATTTTGGTTGTTGTTCCATTGGTGGTATTGGATAGAACTGAGGGTCACAGGTTTACTAGGCCAACACTTTCCCACTTGAATCATGTCCCAGTTGCTTGTATTATTTTTTAATACAGTCTGGTTTTGCCTGAGTTGGTCTAGACTATGACTGTCTTACTTTGCTTTCCATGAAATTGGGATGAGAGGTTCATACCACCATGCCCAACTTACTGGTTGAGATGAGCTCTTTCTAACTTTTTGCTTGCAACTTTGAGTCTGCTGATAATCTGCCTCCTGAGTAGCTAGGATTATAGGTATGAATCAGTATTATCAACTTGTAGTTTCTCTCTCTCTCCCACTCTCTCTCTGTCTGTCTGTCTCTGCCTCTCTATTTTTTAAATTATATCAGTTTTGTATTCAGGTTTCATACCTGCTAGGCTGGTGTGATAGTGATACCACTGAGACACACTTCCGTCCTGTTTCTCACCTACTCCTTTCAGAATGAGAGTTCACTTCCCTCTCAGCTCATTCCTGAGCTGTGATCCACCTGCCTCCGGTTTCCCATCATCGATGGATCTCAGGTGTCTTACCACTGCCTTCAGCTTTACTCCATGGAGACAGTCTCTCAAACTTTTTCTGCCTTGGCTGGCCTGGATCCTCTGTCTTTTCAATTTCAGTCTCCCACATAGCTGGGGATGATGAGGCCACACTACTGCACCCAGGTACAGGTTGTGTAGACTTCTCATGAGTCTTTCTGCCCTGGCTGGCCTCAAACCGAGATCCTTTCATTCTCAGCCCACTATGCCTCCATCTGGCTTTTTCTTTTTTTCTTCTGGCTAGTTGGAGATAAAGTAAAAGTATTTTCTGCTCAGATTGGCTTTGAATAGTGATCTTTAAATTTCAGATTACTGTGTAGGTCTGATTATAGACTTGAGCTACTGACACCTGGCCGAATTAACCTTCTTTCCTTTGTTTGTTTTTTGGTGCCAGTCCTGAGGCTTGAACTCAAGGCCTGAAGGTACTGTCCCTGAGCTCTTTTCCTCAAGGCTAGCACTTTTACCACTTGAACCTCAGCTCCACTTCTGGTTTTTTTAGTAGTTAATTGGAGATAAGAATCTTTTTGACCTTCTTGCCTAGACTGGCTTCAAACCACAATCCTCAGACCCCAGTCTCTTGAGTAGCTCCGACAAGAGGCATGAACCAGCAGTGCCCAGCTCTTATTAACCTTTTAAAACAGTTTTTATGTGTCTGTGACATTCCATTTATCCTGCCAAAACATTTGCACCTGTGAAGAATTATCTTGGCTAAAATAAGAATTAAAGTTCCTTAAGTGAAAATAACAGTTGGGGCTGAGGACAGGGTCTGCGTGGAGCACCTGCCTAGCATGCATGACAGTTGGGGCTGAGGACAGGCTCTGCGTGGAGCACTTGCCTAGCATGCATGAAGAAAATTCAGAAAGAGAGTTGGGGGGAAAAACTTAGCACTCCAAAGGACGTTACTACGTGTTTTTTCTTTTATAACTGTTTTTCCACATTTCTTTCCTCTCTTCCCTTCCAGGTTCTTAAGGATATTTGTCCATCCATTCTGTCATTGGCTCAGAGTTTGTTTCACTCACAAGACCCAAGTATAATTTCATTTGGCAGTCTCCTGTATACATATGCTTTTAGATTTTTTGACACTTACTGCCAGCAGGTATGTTGACATGTTTATCTGCATAAGGAAGGAATAAGGAAATGAAAAGATAAAGAAATATATTTCCAAGTGAGTTGCATGTGCTCAGGTGATTATTTTCTGTCAGTTGGAAGATATTGAAGGGGAAAGAACTTTGAGTCTTGAAACTTAGTTCTGTACCAGTTTTGAAGTGAGGAAATTGATCCGAAGAAGCAAATTTTGTGTTGTGTTCAGAACTCTAACATTGTCTGGGGTTGTCCCATAGTTTTTACAGCATAGGAAAGGCAATTAAACTTATCTGTAGATAATAAACTTCCAATTGATCCTAGAATTGCTCCCTAAAAAAATGACCAGTGGATTCTGGCCCATGTAATTGTAACCCCTCTGTACAGTATTTCCACAATAAAAAAAATAAAAATTAAAAAAAAAAAAAGAAATGACCAGTGGAAAATAAATCAGTGAGAAATGCTTGAGGCCTAACTCAATGTCCACAAACAGAAGACACAAAATTTAATATCAAATACTCAGAGAGGGAAGGCTATACCTGAGGAAAGCAGATAAGAACCAATGTCTTGCCGGTGCTGGTGGCTCACACCTGTAATCCTAGCTACTCAAGAGGCTGAGATCTGAGGTTCACGGTTCAAAGCCAGCCCAGGCAGGAAAGTCTATGACTCTTATCTCCAATAAAGCACTAGAAAACCAGAAGTGGCGCTGTGGCTCAAGTGGTAGAGCGCTTGCCTTGAGCTGAAGAGTCAGGGACAGCACCCAAGCCTAGAGTTCAAGCCCCACCACGGACAAAAAAAAAAAAAAGAACCAATGTATTACTTTGTATTTTTACTTATACTTTAGCATTTATTAGCAATATTTACAAAACATTTCAATGGAACTTTTACAAATAAAGACACATAAGAAAATAAGCAAATAATTTTTTTTTTTTTTGGGTCCGGTCGTGGGGCCTGAACTCTGGGCCTGGGCGCTGTCCCTCAGCTCTTCAGCTCAAGGCTAGCGCTCTACCACTTGAGCACAGCACCACTTCCGGCTTTTTTTTTCTTTTTGCTTATGTGGTGCTGAGGAATTGAACCCAGGGCCTCAGGCATGCAAGGCAAGTGCTCTATCACTGAGCCACCTTCCCAGCCCTAGAGTTACATTTTATGTGAATGTGTAAACCTAAAGATTGCATTTTGTCATTGCTGATTCAGCAGAAACAGTATTTTGTTTTCAAAAGTACCTTTGTGACTTCTTTATACTCATTTTCTAACATTGAAGATTTTCGGTTTCTGTTTTATTTCTATATCGGTCTAATTTCTATAAGCTATATATTTTGAGCAAGAAAACTGAGCTGATGTGAAAGAATTGCAGGTTGAGATGAGGCAGTGAGTTGGTGGTAGAATGCTTGTCTAGCGTGCACAGCTTGATTGAACATAGGGAATAATAGTATAATGGTAAGTTGTACAGAAAGCTCCTTTAGAGATAGAAAGCAGGTCCTTGAATGTTGCGGTGATGTTTCTTTTTTTGTTGTTATTGTGAGGCTTGAACTCAGGGACTGGGCTTTGTCCCTGACCTTTTTCACTGGAGGCTAGCACTCTACCACTTTGAACCACAGCACCACTTCCAATTTTCTGGTGGTTAATTGGAGATAAGAGTATCACCAACTTTCCTGCAGCAATTATCTTCAAACTGCAATCCTTAAATCTCAGCTTTCTAAGTAGTTAGGATTATAAGCATGAGTCAATGGAGCCTGGCTAGGGACAATTATTATTATTTTTTACTTTATTTTTTTGTTGGTCATGGGGCTTGAACTCTGGGCCTGGGCACTGTCTCTGCACTAGAGCTCTACCACTTGAGCCACAGTACTTTTTCTATGTATGTGATACTGAGGAATTGAACCTGGGGCTTCGTGTATGGTAGACAAGCACTCTACCACTAGGCCACATTCCTAGCCTGGGACAGTTATTTTTACTTCACTTTTGAAGCAGAGGTAGCTCTTAAAGGTTTCTTAGCATGGAAATGGTGCAATCAAAGTTTTTCTTTAGAAAAATTAATCTGACTGTATGTGTCTAATAGATTTGTAAATGGCATGCGATTGGAAAGAAACAGGAGATATGAGGCTCAGGAAAACCTCAGTGAGAGGTTTGCTGGCAAGATTGGAAAGGGAGTTTAGGAAGAGTTGTAGCTTGTTTTTCTCTTTGGCTGCTCCAGGTGACCTCCTTGCTGCAGTTAGTTCAGTCCTGTACAGAACAGTCTCCTCGGGCCTCAGCACTTTACTATGATGAATTTGCCAACCTGATCCAGGAAGGAAAGCTAGCTCCAAAAACTTTGGTAAGACAAGAGTCACAGCTTCTTTTTCTTTAACAACTTCTTTTCTCTTTCTCTGCCCTCCTACTGTTCCTCCTTTCTTCCCTTCCACTGAGATTTGAACTTAAGGACTTGTTCTTGCTAAGCAAGTGTTGTACTGCTTGAGCCTATCGCCAGCACTTTTTGTTTTGTTTTGAGCCAGTACTAGGGGCCTTACATTCTTTTTTTTTCCCCTTTCTCTTTCTTTTTTTCTTTTGTCAGTCATGGAGCCTGGGTGCTGTCCCTGAGTTTTTTTGCTCAAGGCTACTGCTCTACCACTTGAGCTGCAGCTCCACTACCAGTTTTCTGGTGGTTAATTGGAGAAAAGAGTCTCCCAGACTTTCCTGCTTGGGCTGGCTTTGAAGTATGATCCTTAGTTCTTAGCCTCCTGAGAAGCTAGGCTGACAGGTGTGAGCTACCAGCATCAGGCCGCAACCTTGCTTTTTTTTTTTTTGTCTGTCTTGGGGCTTGAACTGTGGGCCCTCAGCTCTTCAGCTCAAGGCAAGCACTCTATCACTTGAGCCACAGTGCCATTTCCGGTTTTCTGAGTGGTTAATTGAAGATAAAAGCCTCACAGACTTTCCTGCCTGGGCTGGCTTTGAACCACGATCCTTAGATCTGTTTCCTGAGTAGCTAGGATTATAGGCATGAGCCACTGGTGCCTGGCTGACCTTGCATTCTTGCTTGGCCTTTCTCTCAAAGCTGCTGTTCAACCACTTAAGCTATAACTCCACTTCTGGCTATTTTTGCTGGCTAATTGGAAATAAGGGTATCACTAGTCATTTCTGCTTGGTTGGCTTCAAATCTTAATCTTCAAATCTCAGCATCCTGAGTAGCTAGGATTCAGACATAAGCCAGTCTGTTTCTTTTTTTGGGGGAGGGGGGCCGGTCGTGGGGCCTGAACTCTGGACCTGGGCGCTGTCCCTCAGCTCTTCAGCTCAAGGCTAGCGCTCTACCACTTGAGCCACAGCGCCACTTCCGGCTTTTTTTCTTTTTGCTTATGTGGTGCTGAGGAATCTAACCCAGGGCCTCAGGCATTCAAGGCAAGTGCTCTACCACTGAGCCACCTTCCCAGCCCCAAGCCAGTCTGTTTCTTAAAGTAGTAAAGCATGAGAACTGCTTTACAATACATTCTTCTGGCTTCTCTTTTGCAGTGTGAGTTCCTGTAAGCTCTCACAGCTTATAAGGAAGTCTGTTCTTAGGCATCTCATATCAGGGAGTGCTCATGAGGTCTCCTTCCTGTAGTAACAATAATAGTAATAAATTGGAGAAGGCTGTAACTGATGATGGTGTTAATAGACTCCTTCCATTTAACCAACCCCTATCCTAGGCCAGACACTGAACAAGGTACTTGCCACTTGTTAATCTCTGTTCTACTTCACAGTGATGAGGTATGTATTCTTCTTCTGTATAGCAGTGAACACTGAGGTTTGGAAAGCTTAACAGTAATTTACCTAGCTATGCTGGGCTACACTGTCTGTGTATGTTTGTTTGCTTGCTTCCTTCAGGAATGGGCAGGCCAGAATATCTTTAATGATTTCCAGGATGCCTTTGTGGTGGACCTCTGTGTTGTTCCAAAAGGGTAAGTGCCATTTGGCTGTACTGGAAAAGAAGTTACACTGATTTTGTTGGTAGCTGATCCCAGCTTAATGCTAACCTTGGCCTCGGTCAAGGTTCCTACTCCCACAGCTTTTTTACTTCTAACATTAAAACCACTGGTTCCTAGCTCTGGAGACAATCAAAGGTCCCCACATGTTCTTTCCTATTTCTAACTTCTCCCTGTAATAATTGGTTTGAAATTGATTTATTTTAGTGTTTTCCCCCATAGTCTTGCTTGCTCTTGAGCTGAGGCACAAAGAATCTGGATTCTCTTCACAGTGACTTTCCATTTCCTGTGAAAGCCCTCTATGGACTGGAAGAATACAATACTCGTGATGGGATTGCAGTTAATCTCCTACCACTGCTGTCTTGGAAATTTGCAGAAGATAGTGGTCAGATGACTTCACAGGAACCAGGGCAAAAGTCAGTAGTTGGTTTTTGTTTTCCCTTTTTTCTTTTCTGAAGTTTCTGTGTGTTTTGAATGCTCACAGGGAATTACATTGTCTTTTCAACTTTTGGGGAACTTGAATAAAAAATGTTTCCCCTAAGATGATACTTGGAAGAAGTAGAAGGAAAGGAACAGTTGATATTTTTCTTAGATCTTAGGGCTAAGATTTGTGTTGTCTTCTGAAAGCTAGCAGATAGTGTTCAGGCTATTTCCTTTTCTGTTCTTTACCCCTAACTTTCCTCCTATGAACAACTTTTTCTGCCTCTCTCCCTCCCTCCATCCACCTTTACTTCACATATACTCCACATACCCTCTGCCTTCTTGCCATTCGGGTTATTAATGTTTCCTGAGAACTTATTATTTCTGGCCACTTATTCTTGGAAGTGAAGTATTTATTTGGGGCAAAACTGTTTAGTTGTAACAATGCATTGTTTTTCCCTTTTCAGATTGGTGTCTGCACTGTGCCTGGCTCCCTATTTCCGGTTGCTGAGACTTTGTGTAGCAAGACAACATAATGGAAACCTGGAGGAGATTGATGGTCTTTTAGGTATATGAAGTCCTCAGCTCTTCTCTTCCTTGTGGTCTGTGTGGTGAACATGGACAAGGGCTGGGCCAGGTCATAGTGTATGTGAGAGGCAGTTCTTTAATGCCCTAAGGCAGTAGAGGAATTATAATGGAGTAGCACACACAAAGTAGTATATGTATTAGCATCCTCTTATGCTAATCACTCAGCTTTTCATTGCTTCCCAATAGTTCTCTCTGATTGTTATTCAGACTTCTTAATTATATTTGTTGATTGCTATATAATAAGAAAGTATTTTTTGAGGTTAATCAAAGCTTGATCCATAAGTACCAACTAAACACAGAGGAACATAGTTCCAGGGGGCAACTTCTAGCTTACTTTGGCTTGAACTAAGGAGAGCTGGAAACATTCGTTTTTCTCTCTTAGATTGTCCTCTATTTCTTACTGACTTGGAGCCTGGAGAGAGGCTGGAGTCCATGTCGGCTAAAGAACGTTCATTCATGTGTTCACTTATATTTTTTACACTCAACTGGTTCCGAGAGGTGAGCAGTTACTGGAAAGTTTTGTTACTGTCCATAGTTTCTTTCAAAAGGATTTTCAGAGGACATTTGTGGCTTGAATAAGCTCCTTCAGTCATTACAGTTTTATTACAAAATGGGGAAGGACAGACATTGTTCTTATTTTCAAGAATTTGAAGTACAGAGTTCAAAGTCCTTAAAAGTCATGAAACACCTATGATATACCCCATACTGGTTTATTTTCACCATACTATTTAATTCATGTAACAACTCTATTCCCATTTTAAGAAATAAAATCTCAGGTTAAGGCCAGCATGTCACAAAGGGTCGCTAAGAGGCAGAGTAGGACTTGTTTCCCTCAAGACAGTGCCCTCCAGATGTTCCACCTCGGTTCATGACTAGTGCAAGTAGATAGGGATTAAAGGTGATTTTCTAGGGCTGGGGGTATGGCGCAAGTGGTATGGTTGCCTACCTAGAAAGTGCACAGCCCTGAGTTCAATCTCCAGTACTGCCCTTGCCTCTTCCTCCACCCCCTCAAAAGAAAAGTTAGATTTTTTTTCTACTTTGGTACAGGGATTTCCTTTATCTGTCACCTTGCTGAGAGAACTTCTACATTGTCAGTTGGCAATGTAAAAGTTTGCTATCACTATTGCAAAATACTCAAGACAATTACCTTATAAAGTGAAAGATTTATTTCAGCATACAGTTTTGGAGTTTCCAGCCTGTGATCAGTGGGCATGTGTTAAGACTGAACATGTAGAACCTGGGGTAGGGGAATTTTTTCTCTGGCAATGGTTTTTGGATATTTAAAACATCGTTTGGAGACTATACAAAACTATCAAAACTGGGCTGGGAAGGTGGCTCAGTGGTAGAGCGCTTGCCTTGCGTGCCTGAGGCCCTGGGTTCGATTCCTCAGCACCACATAAGAAAAAAGCCGGAAGTGGCGCTGTGATTCAAGTGGTAGAGTGCTAGCCTTGAGCTGAAGAGCTGAGGGACAGCGCCCAGGCCCAGAGTTCAGGCCCCACGACCGGACCAAAAAAAAAACTATCAAAACTGGCTGGCAGATGTTGGGCAGCTAATGAGAAGCAAGTATGTCCTATCATGTACTAGATTTCCTGAGCCTTATAGGGCCTGTAAGAGCTAAGGCATTCCCACCTGATAATGGTAAAACAAAGTTGCTTGCTAGGAGGCAAAAGGGAAAGAAGAAAGGGCTGATAAACTGTAACTCCCTTCAAGGGCATACCACCCAATGACCTAAAGACTCCCCTAAGACCCCACCTCTTTTTTTTTTTTTCCCCAGTCTTGGGGCTTGAACTCTGGACCTGGGAGCTGTCCCTGGGCACCATTTTTTGCTCAAGGCTAGCATTCTACCACTTGAGCCACAGTGCCACTTCCATATTATTCTGTGATTAATTGGAGGTGATAGTCTCATAGACTTTCTCTCCCAGACTAGTTTGAACTGAGATCCTCAGAGCTTAGCCTACTGAGTAACTAGGATTCCAGGTGTGAACCAGTGCTACCTGGTAGGCCCCACCTCTTTACGGTCCCACCACCTCGCAGTAGCTAGAGATCAAGGCTTTATCATATGAATGTTAAGAGGACTTTTAAGATCTAAACTATAAAACTCACAAGAATGCTGCTGAGTGACCTTGTTCAGCTCTCAATGGGTCATGTAGTAAGGGTAAACATATAATTTGTACTTGTAGGTTATGAATGCCTTCTGCCTACAAACACCACCTGAGATTAAGGGGAAGCTACTCACTCGGTTAAAGGACATTGTAGGGCTGCAGGAAATCTTGGAAAAGTACTTGGCAGGTAAGGAGATCCTATCCTGAGAACCCCAGTATGTCCATGTTAAGAGATAAAGAATTTAGGGGTGTGTGTGTGTGTGTGTGTGTGTGTGTGTGTGTGTGTGTGTGTGTGTGTGTGTGTGTGTGTGT